CTTTCCCTATGCCCGAGCATAGGTTTTCTTTCTTTCTTTTTTATTTGTTTTTCTTTTGTGCGTGTGTGTGTGTGTAATTAGTGGGTATTTGGCAGTAGCAGTAGCTGTCAGTAGCTTATCAGCTAATGGTAGTAACTCCATTTACTTCAGGAGTCATCCATCTGTGTGTTCTGAACAGAATCTTGGAAGTATCTGCCTTCCAATAATTATGTAGTTACGATATATCCCAACTTTGATTCTTTGAATTACTTCTCATTTGAATGTCTAAAGTAATTGAAATACTATGAATCCTCCCATCTTTCTGCTTCCCTATTTGTGTGCTACTAAAAGGGCATTGTTTTTCATGTTACACTGTTTGTGACATGTAATTATGGAAGAATATCCACTTGATGAGAATTACAATAAAATGGATAAAATTGCATCAAACTTGTGCTGTGTACTCCATTTTAAGACAGCTCTAACATGTTGTTGTTGGAGCTGTAATTTTCTGCTGCTTGTACTCATAGCTCCTATCTGCATAGGCTGCATCTCATAGCTCTCTTTTAGGGTCATGATTTTATAGTTGCTCATCCAGCCATCATGGCTTATGTCCAACTTATTTCTAAGGGGTTAGTCATATTCAGATCCTTCTGGCTTGTGTTTGCTTACACACTCAATCACAGAATCATTGAGGTTGAAAGGGATCTCTGAAGGTCAGCTGGTCCAATTGCCCACCTCAGGCAGGGTCAGCAGTCTACCCTAAAACCCTGTCCAGTCGGCTTTTGAATATCGCCAAGGATGGAGACTCCACAAGCTTCCTGGTCAGCCTGTGCCACTGCTAAGTCACTCTTACAGTGGAAAAAATATTTTTCTTATGTTCAGCCAGAACCTCGTGTTGTGTCAGTTTGCACCCGTTGCCTCTTGCCCTGTCCTGGGCACCACTGAGAACAATCTGTCTCCATCTTCCTTGCACCCTCCCTTTAGGTATTTATATATACTGATAAGATCCCCCTGACCTTTCTCTTTTCCAGCCTGAACAGTCCCCAGCTCTTTTGGCCTTTCCTCATACGAGAGGTGCTCTAGTTCCTTAATCATCTTTGTGGCTCAAGTACCCAGAAGATACCTGTGTTGAAATGGTACTCTTTTCAGGATTTAGGACTATCTGAAGTTTCGAAGTTTCTCAGGTGCTTGAAAGACACCTAAATCCATATGGGCGTTGTCTTCTGGAAGGCACAATAGCAGAGATGTGGGCAAATAATTGCATGTAGGGCCTGAGAACATGCAGTTCTCCAGGCTCACCATTCAGTCCTGTCTGGGCTTCTCACAGCTGAGTACTTCAACTCCTTCCACTCGCAACCTGGTCCTTTCAAATGTGTAGCTCTGCTTTACTGGCCAGTTTTGTTTGGACCCGTTTTATTCTGTGCAAAGAGTCTCTACTAGCAGGATCTACAGAACTTAAAAAATAAAAAGTAGTTGGTTATTGGCTAATGCATTCAGTAGACATCTTATAATAGTATGTATGCATTTAATTTCCTATGTCCTTATTAAGGCACAAAGAAATTCCAGATTTAGTATCTTAAAATCACACTAAACCTTCCCAAATTACTATTATTTTATTAACATTTGTAGTAGTCACCTTCAAAATTACATCTAAAGATATGTATGCATGTTAGCAGGATTTACTTTCTCACTGGATTCAAATCAGTGATTTGAAACTTCTAGTACTGAAAAGGATACTCATCTGGAGAGGTGTTTCTGTTCATTGCAGATAGGGAAATAAAAACCCTTAAACATTGGTCATTCTGATTAATATTTGGGTTTTTTTAAATTTCCTGTAGTTTTATTTGTTGTGGTATGCTCAGCTATGGTGCATTATCTCACCACCTACTAGAAAAAAGTTCTGACTTGCTGGCCCAAGCACAAGAAATTGGTATTTTTTATTTTCACTGGTTTGTGATGTAGCAGGTGCTAGAACCTGAACTCAGTTTGGTGTGATTTTTATTTGTTTGTGGAGTTTGCTAAGCATGTACTTAAGATACATGATTTGCACAAAGACTTTAACAAATCCAAGAGAAAACCAAACAGCAGTATTAAAGATAGGTGTTAATGGAAAACTGATGAGTTTCAGCATGTTGGAAGTATCCAGTGCTCTGATAATCAGGCCAGTATTATCTCAGGGACTCTGAAGTAATTAGTAGATTTATTTCTGTAGCCTTTGTTCAGTATTTGTCTCAGACGCAGTTTTTATTAAGAGCAGTAAAACATTATTTCTGAGTCTTGAGAAATGAAGTCGCACATAGAACCAGTCTGGCAAACTGGTGCAGTTGAATAAATCTCATTCAATTCTGAGCACATATAAGTCTGTATCTATGTAATTACAGGAAATCCCTTATTTTTGTATGTATATCTATAAATTTGCAGTAATTACTGATTAGTGCATGATTTGTACAAAATACATACGATGATGTTTCCTAATTTTAGCACAGCCAAAGCTATTAATTTTTGTGACTTTTTGTCAATCTTTAGTTTCCAAGCTGGTACAGAGTTTAATGGGTCAAGTGTTTGTTTCATCAGTTTGTGCTGAAAACAAGTCTTTTTCAGTGCTGTTCTGCATAGAGTCATTTCTTTCAAGGTTTTGCCATCACTAGCAAAGCTCTTCAGGTGATAATAGACTTCAAAATGCTTTTAGAAATGTGTAATGGCATTTTTTTTCTTAGTCTAGGTGACAGACTGCTGAAAGGAAACTTGGGTGTCTGACATTGTTCTCGCTGTTAAATTTCATTTGCAAAACTTCATGATTCAGAGCAGTATATTGTTGTCTACTGGCACAGTTACTAGCTCCACTGCATAGATTTCACATATTTTATGTCAGTCCTATGTTCAAGTGTATGAGATTTTCATTCCATTAACTAATGTTTATAAGAACAATATTTGATTCCCTTCTGTAACCAGGAATTATTTAATAGCAAAGTCAGCAAAGTACATAGTAATATAAAAAGCAGTGACTAGAAAAGCTTAACAAAGCATTCCTGGCCTCATTGTGTACAGTGAAGAGCAACAGTGTGATTGCCAAAGGAATTATTTCAGAATTAAATGATTCAGAAGAGCAGGAAGGGGACACAATTCAAAATGTGGAACATTCTTCATGATCTCTAATAACTGACCTTCATTTCAAGGCATGGCATCCTGGGTGTTGTGATATAGTCTAAGGGAATTTATGTCTTAATTTTGCAGGTCAAGCCTTAAAGGTATCAGCAGAGGCATTTACCAGTGATCCCTGCTATCTGCCTAAGAGGCAAGCTGTTGTCCAAGCAGCACGATCTCTGCTTACAGCTGTCACAAGGCTTCTAGTTCTGGCAGACATGGTTGATGTGGCATACTTACTGGAACATTTAACTGTGGTGAGTAGAATTTGATTTAACTTGGACTCCCTTTAGCCAGAGAAGTGTCTGTTCGTTGTTCTTTCTGCATTGAAAATTCTTTTTTGTGGCTGGGGTTTGCAGATTTCATGCACATAACACTTTGGCAATTGGTAGAAGTATAGACTCTAAACGAAATTTGTAGAACATAGCAAAACAAAAAATAAGTCTTCTAACTCAACATATTTGATCTGGGGGAATGGATGGTTATCCGTACAGTTATGTTTTAAATTCTTTTGATTTCTAATTTCCTATTTTCTTACTTGAATTCCTGTATAGCTTTTCATGCATGAAACCTTCTTGATGTTTGTGGCAGTAGTAGAGAATAATTTATTTGTAGAGAATCTTGAAGGTGGAATTTTATGTGGATATTTATGAGGGAAAGAACTGAGTAGGTAAGGATCTATCTCTGTATTTAAGTAATTTTGTGAGAGAGATCAACTAGAAGGAGAGGGAGAAGATGTGTGAGAGAGACCTCCATCAACCCCCCAGATCTGGCTGTATGTTTGTACACTGCAGACAGAAGACTAGAAAGCCATAATGCTGGCAAAGCTTTATAAATTGTGCAGTAGAAAATATTCTGTAAAAGCCACTTATTTTTTTTTCACTCAAAGAAATAATGTATTTTGGAAGTGTGTTGTATGTATTGTGTCTTGAGTCATCTTTTTTTCCACCTGACTTTCTTTATACAGAAGGAATGGCTTCATTCTTCTTTTCTCATATAAAACTAACCAGTGGTTTTGCCACTATTGCTGAATTAGGCAAAATGTCCACACTTCTGTTGTTCAACATCAAAATACTTTCATGTCTACATAAATTCAGGTTCCTTTAATGTCAGCCATAGTGTCCCATGTGAGCAAGCTTCCTTTCTTTTTTGAACGGTGTGATTTTAATCTTGCAAGCATCATGTATCTGAGCACAGAAATGCGTTTATTGATGTTTCTTCTCTGGCTGCTTACTCCATTCACTCTGTGTCTTTGCTGGGAAGAGCAAGAAATTGTTTTATTTTTGTTTTGTTCTTTTTTTTTTTTTTTTTTTTCCTTCTAACATCTTCAGTAATGTGTGACAGACTGATAAAAATTCCAAGTTCTACTGACTGATTTAATGTTTCAGGGCAGAGGTGAATAATCAGTACCACCTCTAATAATGTCTCATGCCACAAGAGAACCTGCTCACTTAAAGGGGACCATTTTGAAGCAAGTTCAGTTTGGTGAGGACAGAGGAATGAAAATCTAGCTCCCAATCAGAGTACTAACAGTGTTTTATAATAAAACAGTGTTGTGTGGGTTTCAGTGCTGTGTTTGAAACATCAAACGTTGACAATTGTTGGAGATGCAGTACAAGCTAAATGAGCTCTGACTGGCAGAAACTTCTGTGTTGTTACATATGTATGAGATTTGTCAGCTGTAAGAGCAGTGTACTATGTCTTTTGCACCATTTGTGGAAAATTTCTTAAATTATGATCTTGTTTATTGGTAGCCTATTACATTTTTGCATATGCGTTTTCATAATCCTAAATGCACCCTTCTAAAATGTATTCAGTATGTTTTACATGAGACATAAAAATGGGTAGTTTTCATTCCTAGAGTTTCAGTGTTTCTAAACAACTGTATAATTCACTTCATGTTTTCCACTTGAAAATGAAAACAAACAGTAGCTGAAGATAATAAAAGAATGAAAAGCATCATTCAGGAAAAACTCCAACACTGCAAAGAGTGCAATTAAGTTTTCTTGTTCTTCTTCATACTTTAATGTAGTTCTCTGAATAGGAGTGACAACTGAATTCTTTAATTAACTCTTAGAATAAATTAGTGAGGCGTAACACTCTCCAAAATGTCTACGCAAAAAGACTCACCCTAGTCCCTGGAGGAAGGTGGTACACTTCCCATATTTATTTAGTCTCTGCCCTGCCTATCAGTGGTATTAGCTGTAATGGTATCTTTTTATATTGATATCTAATTAGGAAATCGGCTTAGAAGATAGAGTACTTTCAACATATGCTCCTGAACATCCTTCAATTTATAACAACATTTGGTCCTGCCTAACTGAGGCAGATTTAAATGCAATTAAGTATTTTAATGAGTCTTAATTTTGCTCTTTTTGAAGTCCTTAACTTTAATAATACTTCAGAACTCCCTTAGGAATTCAGTTTTTCTTTGATGTGGAATTGCTCCAACAAAAAGATCGTATTCATACCCTGGATGCAGTGTAGAAAATAGACCTTGTCTTTGCTGTATCAACTTTAATAGTCTTAATGTTTGCATGTTCATATGACTCTTTTTAAAAGTCATTACCAGATTTTCTTTGAACCTGTTCTAAAAGTTTAAAACATCTAGCATATTATCCTCTTCACAAAGACATGGATATTACAGCTTTATTAATCATTTAAGAGATGAGAAACGTCATTGGCCTTAATTTTCATAACTCTAATCTCTGTAATTCTCATAAAATAAAATGAAGACATTTAAAAGACTGACCCAAAATTAATTTTTAAAATGAAAAATAAAAAGAAAAGAAAAAGAAGTAATAGTAGAATAAATGAAGTGAAAATTCTAACCAAGGATTTTTTTTTTCTGGTTTTATGTATGAAATGAAACAAAGTTGTCCAGCATCATCAAAGAACTGTGTAGAGTACTAATCACTTCTTAATCAATATGGTCTGTAGAGTACTAATCAGTTCTTAATCAATATGGAAGTATTTAATGTAGAATGATCTGTTTATATATCTTTCAAACCGATTTATCAAAGGCTGATGAAGGTTTTTAGTCTTACTCACTCAGTAAAGCTGGTTAATTCCAGCAATGACATTGAAAACGTTTGAAACCATACTTCCACTGATAGAATGCAGTCTGGATCATTAAACTTTAATTTCCTCTGTAATCTGTGAATAAAAATAGAAAGCAAACAACGACAATATGACTTAGCTGTCCTGTAAAGTCTTGTCTAGTGTTACCTATCCCATTTGCCATTCTAAGTATATCTAGGAAAATAGAGGAACCTCAGCTACCCCCTTCCAGTTTATATAGTTTATAAGAGTGTTGTTTTCTGTATATTTTACTTAGACTTTGGACTGGTTTTGACTTCTATGTAATAAAATCTTCATATAAAAGGGTAAAATTGCTGAAATGCAAGTTTTAAACTAGAAATAATAGGTCAGTCTCTTTGGAAGAATTTGATAAACTTGGCAGGAATTTAGCTCCAAATGTCCAAAACCGTATGTTTGTGGAGATTAGGTTAGATCTTTCTGAAATTTCACTAATAAAGTAGAGAGAATTTTGGCTGGTTTATGATGGTATTGTGCAAACAGCAGGCTCATCTTAGAGTTGACAGAGGAAAAAAAAGTACATCACGCTGATAAGGAAGGTGTTCCTTCTTGAAACAAGTTAAATTTTTTTAAATGGGGAAGAGTTTAAATAAATAGCTGTTTATATCTGAGTTTCCATACTTAGTTTAGAGATTGAAGTATCTAATAAAAAAGCAGGTTGCGAAAAATGTAGTCAAGCAAAGGGCTATTGCATTTACTGGACTGTGATTCAGACTTGTTTTACCAGCCTCATTCATTATGGTTAGTAATGCTCATTATTATTTAATTGTGAATTAAAAGACTAATGGAATTGCTGGAATTTATTGATCAGAATAGAATAACAAGAGGGTGATAAGTTCTGAGGATTTCATTCAAAAGCACATTAGCAGTCTGTCTTTCTCTAAACTATTTCAGATCATGCTGAGCCAACATGTCTTATCTGCCTTTTTTCCCCTTGCTGTCATGCTTGTAGATTTACTGTTTAAGTCTTAATACTGTTCATGAATGCCTCAGACAGTGTGATCTTTATAAAATGCTTGCTTACAGTTATTTAAAATTCTTGCCAGGAAAAAAATTTAGAATGGCTACAGATAAGCAGCAACTTGTGAACTTGGGCCCTGTGGGCATAGTGCTGTCTGTTCGTCCCTTCCCCGCAGAGTATTCATCAGCATTAAAAATGTTCTGAGCAGGAAAAAAACATTATAGTTACATAAAAGAGGAGAGGTAAGTCATCTCAGGCTTACCTACACTTCGGGTTTAGCTATTTGATTTGGGTTGTTGTGACCTAAGTGTAGGACCCAGCACAGAGCCTTGTTGGGCCTCATACCTCTGGCCACAGCCCATTGATCCAGCCTGTCCAGATTCCTCTGGAGAGTCTTCCTACCTTCAAGCAGATCAACACTCATGCCCAACTTATCATTTGCAAACTTACTGAGGGTGCACTTGATCCACTTGTCCAGATCATTGATAAGGATATTAAACAGAACTGACCCCAGCACTGAGCCCTGGGGAGCACATTCACCACCACTCTTTGGGCCTGGCCATCAAGCCAGTTTTTAACCCAGCAAAGAGTATACCCATTCGGGCCATGAGCAGCCAGTTTCTCCAGGAGAATGCTGTGGGAAGCGGTGTCAAAGCTAGTAAAGTTTAGGTAGACAATATCTACAGCCTTTCCCTCACCCACTAAGTGGGTCACCTTGTCATAGAAGATCAGGTTGGTCAAGCAGAACCTGCTTTTCATGAACCCATGCTGACTGAGCCTGATCTCAGTTCTCTTCTACGTGCATGATGGCACTCAAGATGATCTGCTCCATAACCTTTCCTGGCACCAAGGTCAGACTGACAGGCCTGTAGTTCCCTGGATCCTCCTTCTGGCCCTTCTTGTAGAAGGGCATAATCCTGGCTAACTTCCGATCAACTGGGACCTCCCATCTTAGCCAGGATTGCTGAAAAATAATTGATTGAAAGTGGGTCAGTGAGCACTTTCGCTAGATTCCACAGTACCCTTTGGTGAATCCCATCCAGCCTCATAGACTTGTGTGTGTTTAAGTGGTGTAGTGAGTCACTAAGCCCTTGGATTATGGGGGCTGGGTACCCCAAAACAACTGGTCTTGCTATTAAAGACTGAGGCAAAGAATGCACTAAGTATCTCAGCCTTTTCCCCATTCTTTGTCACTAT